TGTAACTATAATTGTAGGAACAATTCTCTGCTTAAAACTTCCAATTAAAACCAATTAGATAAATTTGAATCGGTTTTAATCGGATTAATGCATCGGACTGATATTTTCCTATTCGTTTTTCAAATCGGAATGAATCGGAGCAGACACAATGGAACTGTATTGGCATATATGTACCCATATAATACCAAGAAAGCGTTGACGCTGAACAAGAATTAATAAGATATTTCCTTCGAAATAGGATTTAATAGTTTTTTATAGAATTGCTTCCCAATGGTTTTAATTGGACAAACTGCGGATGTGCCAAATCTAATGGAGATTAACCAGTGAATTTCCGATTAAAACAATTGGTATAATTGGAATCGGTTTTAATCGGATTAATGCATTGGAAATTTTTTCAAAATTTTTCTATTCATTTTTCAAATCGGAGCAGATTCAATGGGATTGTATTGGCATATACATCCATGTATACAAAAAAGTGTCGAACAAAAAGTAATAAGATATTTCACATTTCCTTCAAATAAATAAAATTTAATAGTTTTTTATAGGATTGCTTTTAAATAGACTTTAATCGGACAAGTTGCAATCCAATGGAAATTAATTAGTGAATTTACGTAGTCCGTCTATTTTTGGCGAATCGTAATTAATGGGAAATTGATTTTTTCAAAATGAATTGGATTCAATATGTTCAGCACAGAAGGCAGCTTTGCAACTGTTGTAAAATTCTTTAATATATGATTTATTTACGCCCGGATTGATTAATTTTGCACCAACGTCACTTTGACCTTAAGCGAGATTTAAAACTTTATCTGTTTCGTTTTAAAATCAAAAAGAGACAGAAACAGAAAGAGTTTTAAGCCTCGCTTAAAATCAAAGTAACGTTGGTGCAATCGGGCCTTATAGCGTTTTTCATTGAGAGAACTGGTGCTCACTGAGTGCGCACTAGGCGCAGACTGTGTGTTTCATTGGCGATTTCAGTGTGCGCTGTTTCATTGGTAAATCTAGTGCCCAGTTTTCGCACTTTCTTGCAAAAATCTAGCACGAGCTCCAAGGGACAGTGTCGGTTGCGTGCAAAATATGGCGGTGAGAATTGATATAGGTATACTCCGGCATATACGCCGCACCTATCAAAAACTTAATTTATTAAGTATTATTTACTATGTTTAAAATAAACGAACTATATCAGTAAAAACTTTGTACTGTCTACTACCATGAAAAAAATATTAGAAATTCGAAATATTTAGTTTTCGTATAAAATAATAAACTTTTTGAAATATCTTGCATTTTTGCTATATATAGATAATAGGTGGGATATATGGCAAAAATGCAAGGGTTTCAACAAACTAAACAAAGAATACGAAAGCAAAGCATTTGTATTGTGCTATACAACATGCTTTACTATTCCTCTACACGTATGTATGACGAAATAACCACTAGGTCTTTTACACGCCTTACAGTAATCATTTTATGTAGATTATAATTTCTGATGATGTTACTTGTTACACACACAGTGACAAATCGATTCAACTCACAATAATTTCATTAATATTAACAGTAAGAAGCTGAAATTATAACTCAATAGTAATATAACATAAAGGCATGTAACAGAGTAGTTGCGAGAAAATTAATCAGTTTACCCCCCACTCCTTCTATTTCTTATGACTTCCGCTGCATAAATCCCAGCGCGGCGTATATATACCGGAATTATCCTAATAGTAGGGGAGGCCAAGAGGCTAAATGTGGATTTACTCGAGCGTCGTGGGGACCTATTGGATTGTGAAGATTAGATGCTAAAAAGAAAAAAAGGTTATATGAT